CGCGCCCTCTGCGCCTGCAGCCGTGGCAATGGCCACGTTCAAGGCATGTTTTCTCTGCTCCTCTGCCGCTTCATCCAATGTAGTTCTTGTCTCTTGCGCTGTTGGTACCACTGCAGTTGCAGGCTTTTGTCTCAGCTTCATCTTCCTGAACACCCATCTCAGCCTCCTCGGTTTCTATATAAAGATTTGATCAACACACAAAAGGTAAAATATGATCATACCAAACTTTGTAATGGTTAATGAAGATGAGAAAATAAACAAACCTTATCCGGTTTTGCTTTTGCTTCGCAAGTGAAGAGCTTTCTAATCCAACTGAACCAGGACCTCCTCTTGGCCATAACGTCACGTGCTTTTGGTAAGATCGAGTTCGTGATGTTATCCGTTTCTTCCTCCTCTCTTAGTCACTAAAAACTGTGGAACAATAACAGAGAAGTTGCAGATAGATATATATATATATATATATATATATATATGTATGTATGTATGTATGTATCAGAGGTCTTTTTTTTTTTTTTGATAACCAGAGGTTGACTGGACCTTCGGTCCAACCTATATTTCTTAGGCTCGGGAGCAGCTTTTAGAGGCCGGCGACAGGGGCCCAAAGAGCAACACCCTCTCAAACCGAGAAAACACCCCCTCTCTCCCCAACCCGCTGCTCGAACATGGGACCTTGAGGTAGGAGCAACTTTTTTCTCCATACCCCTGTACCACTCGGCCACCGCAAAGTTGGGTATCAGAGGTCTTGCTACTACCAGGTAAGCAAAACCGAATCGAAAATTTCGAGGAAATCTACTTGAGCATTCATCAAAGAAAGAAAGCCCTGATTCTTACTTGAGGTTTATTCGTGATTCATACCATGCCTGTAAGAAAAGGTAAGTTTTTGATTGAGTGATCGAGAAAACAAAAATTTGAGAGAAGACCCATTAAAGAACATCAAGGGATCCAAAATGGGTTCGGTTAAAGTCTCAGGATTTACGTGAAAACCAGATGTAAATTCAACACACAGAAATCGGATGTTTCGTAGCGGAAGAGAAGAATAAACACTAAGAAACAACGATGTAACGAGGTGAGGACAAGACACAAAAAACAGAGGAACTCAGAAACATGAATCGTTACCTGTAAAAAAAAAGACACGGAAACACGAACTGAAACAGAGAGTAAGTTAAGTGGACGAAACAGTTGTGTGAAGGTACTTATGAAGGCAAGAGTTTGCTCTTATGCTCTTTCTGCTCATCATCATCATCATCCTCCATGAGGGCCCTCTCTCTCTCTCTCTCCCTCTCTCCCTCTCTCTCTCTCTCCCTCTCTCCCTCTCTCTCTCTCTCTTTCGGCAATGTCGATTGACTGATTCGATTCTTATCTGCGTTTTTCTCAGCGGAAATGGAGTCGAACGAGTCCTATGCGGCGGATTCTCCCGAGGAGCTGACGAAGAGATCTCACGAGGAGCAGAATCAGTCGGAAGCAGGTATTTCCGATCCGATCTGCTCTTTCGTATTTCTGGGTTATTTTTTTCTTGTTATTGAGGCGACGATAGTGCATTTTCGTGGCTCAGATGTTTGGCGTTTGATTCGATTTGTTTTTACGTTGGGCAATTCTTTTACCTCTTCGTGAATCGGCTTCCTCAAAATTTTCTGAATTGAGTTCGTATATGGGCAATTGTTTCCGTTTGAGAAACAAACGGCATAAGTCTACAGGATTAAACACACAAAAAATATCAGAGAGGATTTTTTGCGGTAGATTTTGCAAGGATGGAATAGTTACATTACATTCTGCCTTACATTTCTGCTAGACGAGGGTTTCAATCATCAGCGCAAATTTGGTTAGATTCTGACGAATTTAAGGAAACTCTCTCTCTCCCCTCTCTCTCTCTCTCTCCCTCTCTCTCTCTCACTTTTCCAACTGTCACTTTCACAATCTGATTTAGAGAGGAATTGTTCAAACACTTCCTCTCCTTACTTCTCTTCACTTTCTTAACCAATCACTTGAATTGGCCCTACTTATTTTACATAATTTTATATATATATATATATATATATATTAATAATTGGAGTTTAAATGTCACCGCAGACGTATTTATTATGGGCTTCGCAAGGAAAATAAAATCCATAGTTTTTTTATATGTTATATGAATAAATTGGTATGAAAATAGCAAGAACAATATGAGTTTAGAGTTAGACCAAAAAAATAATGAGCTTTTCTCATAAATATGATGTTTTCATATTTGGAAGCACAAAATAAATATCTAAAAATTATTTAGGTTTTGGAAAATACCAAATCGATTTTTTAGGAGAATATTTTTGCAAAATACAAAATTGAAAATTTTCGTCAAAAATACTCATTGCAGATAAAATAAATGTTGATATTGTGATTGAAAATATATGTTACGAATTAAAATCGTAGATAATCGACTGGTGCAACGAGCAATAAATTTATATATCTGAAATTATTAAGTTTTGGTAGCATGAATGATATTATATTTTATATATAATTTTAAAATATGAGTATATATATATATATATATGTATTAGCAATAGTTAACAAAGATGATGTTATGGTGTTGGAAACTTAGCATTGCAGTTGTGATATGTCTATTCATCTATATGATTATTCATAACAAATCTTACTAGACATAATTCATTTGCTCAACATCGATTTAATTAAATGAAATCCTGACTCGTCCATAAACTCTATAATGATTAGCCCGATTTATGAGAAAATCTAATTTATATCCAAATAAAATTAAATTTGGTGGTCCATAGTTATCTTTTGAGCAGATAAATATTGCAATGAGAAGTGATCGTGCCATTGGATTCAATGATAAAGATGCATGTGAACAATGATTACAATTTTGTCTATTCAATTTCGGTTTGATTATTTTTTTTTATAAAATATTTTTCATTTTTTCAAGAGACATTGATTTCTACCATTTTGCTTTTTCTTTAGGCTCAACATGGCTCATGATCCTTTTGAGTTGTTGTTTAGTCCCCACTCCCTCACTCCTCATCAAAATCATAAAATAATAAATAAAATTATAAATAATTAAGCTTCCATAAAATATATGATGATCCTTTCAATTTTGTTTCAATTTATATAATTTTTTTTTTTTTTAATTTGAATACAATTATGTATTATTTGAATCAGTTTATTTATTCAATATGAGATCAATTTAGTAAAAATTAGTGAGATATGCAAATACTATATATTTACTATACCACCACCTTTGGACACTTATTGGTGCAAATGCTAACTATGTGATTTGTTAACAAATTTTTTTTTAAAAAAAAGATAAACAGATTAATCAATGATTAAAGCTGAATTTATATGGTTTTCTAAAAGGGAAAAAGAAATTCAATGTTATCAATGATGAGATCATACTGATTATCTGTATCAAAGATGACGTGTGCCTTTTTCCCAACGTATGATTCACATAAAAAAAAAACTAAAATCATGGATTGACCAACTTTAGTTTGCATGATAATACTGAGCCAAGACACTAATAAAAATGAAATTATATGGACCGACCAGTGGGTCAAGAACTCAAGATAATGAAGGACATTTCAGTAATTTCCTAGATCCTTGCTTCCTCTTTTCCGTAACCGTAATGGTTGATGCGAGGCGGGTACCATTGATGGTCGAGTGCCCGAAACGATCGAACCCATGAAGACATGCGTATTTTTATTGATTCAAGTAGGCCGTAATAAAATATTAATACAATTTTTTTACGAATATATATCTAGATTTTATTGTAATTGTTTTAGAATATCATTTTACATATATATTGACAAATACAACGAGCTAATGGTAAAATATGAATCCGTATACGTATTCGTGATCTAGGTTTTCCGTATCGTCCTACCCATACTACTAGCACTCAGCCTCGATCGAGTACTCATGAGACAAATACTCGTGAATCCGCGAATCTCGAATTTTTAACACCTACCATTATTTTATCTGATTATTTTGTCTGAGTTCGGTATGACTATACATAAAAATTTATAATCGGGAATAAATTTAATTTTATTAAAGAGCAAATTTAGTTTTACGAGGAGGATATTTTATGCAACATCTAACAAATTTATTTAAATTTTTGTAACGAAACCGTTTTTTTTTTTAATTAAACAATTGGGGGCTTGACCTCTTTCATTTCAAAGTGGATCCATCCATAGTCGTTCCGACTTTCGAGTGTATACAAAAGTTGGTCACACTTATATATATATATATATATGTATGTATATATATATATATGTATATATATCTGAACGAAAGCAACATTGACAAGTCATGAACACAAGGGAAAGAAGAATGAATACATGGATTTCTGCTTTCAATTCTTGAAACGATGTAATAACAATAACAGTAATGAAATGACTTTCTTGTGATGTATACACACACATTCACACTGAACATTGCAAACAGAAGAAATCCACAAAAATGAATCTGTCCTAAAAGGACAAAACCCAACACCACGAGTTCCTTTTGTTTCTCTGCAACCACCATCTTCTTGCTCGATGCTCTGTTTCTTTTGATTTGTGACAGAGCTGTGGAAAAGTAACAGAAGAAACTCGGAGTTATGTTGATGAAAAGTTCTGCAGAAGAAACCATTACAAGCTCCCTCCCTGTCTGATAAAGAAGAGGTTTTTCCTTTCCTTTTTGAATTTGTAAAGTTTTTCTTACCTTGTGGGCTAAACTCTGGTGATTTCCATTAACGGTCTATAGATTCAGTTCCCTGTAACCGAGACGGTCTCGAAAGCTTGTACTAACAGCTGAACTTTCCTTTTCCGAGCAGGTGTTAGTTGGGAAACAACGCCTTGAAGTGCATAATCTACCATCCATTCTTCGCCGTTTCTCTTGTCCCGAGTTTCTTGATGCCTTAGGTTGATCTTTTTGGCTTCTGGGTCGGGGTTCAACAGCAAAAACCTCGGCTCTCTTGGATCGAACTTCCTCACTTTCTCGAGTGCTTTGACAAATCTCTTCAGAAGGATCACTCTTTTCAGGTTGCTCCAGCCTTTCCTCACCTGTGGCATCTGCTCAGTTTCTGCCTTCTGGCTCGCTTCCTTTTCGGTATCTGTTTCTTCTAGATGTTTCCGGTCTGAAATCGTACTGCCTGTATGGTCACCTTCGCTGTCTGGAAGAGATATTTCATCGATGACTTCTTCCAACAGCTTTACGGCTTCACTCTGGTAAAGCTCCATGCTTTCACCACCTGCATTTTGATCATCGGAATCAGACCCGCCTTTGTTTTCTTCCTCCTTGATGGTTGCCCCCAAAGACGGTTGGTTTCTCTCGTTCTCTGCAACACCCGATTCCATGTGCTTGCATAATAACCTCCACAGGCTCGTACATTGCTGCACGTTAGCGGTTTCACCAGCCAATTCGCCCTCTTCTTGTGAATCTCTCGGTTTTTCACTCGACATCTTGCATGTATCATCTGTTTCGTTGCGGTGGAAAACACGGGTTCCCTCTTCATTCGTATCCCGAAAAGTGGAGTCAGCCACTTCTTCCTTGCCAAATCCATATCCCGACTTTTCTTGGCCACTCACGGGATTTGAAATCGGTGTTCTTGCTTCTGGTGAACCACCAGAATTGCTGGATCGACGAGAGCTGGGACTCGAGAAACTAATGGTGTCTTGTAAGCTGATGGTGTCGAAAGCTTGTGCAAGAAGAGCGACTTTTCTCTTCTGCGAAGGCGCTAACGTCGAAATGGCTTGTCGTAGAGCATAGTCAAGCATCCATTCCTCGGAACTTTTCTTCCCTTCTAATGGCCGATGCCTCAGATTGATCTTCTCAGCTTCTGGGTCGGATTCCAAAGGCAGAGTCCGAGGCGTTCTGTTACTATGTTTCGTTAGAGTTCCCAACTCTGTCACGAACCTCCTCAAAAGGATCGCCTTTTTCAGGCTGCTCCAGCCCCTCGAGGTTTTCTCACTCGACTTGTGTCTTGCCTCCGGTCCCATTACCTGAGTTGTTATGGCAGCCATGGAAGCTGAAGGACCAAGCTCTTCTCCGAGTTCAGAACCCCTTTCGAAAAGTTCTTGATCTGTGGTTACATCACTATTCATGGATTGTTCATCTGATGACTGATCCGGGATTTCAGACAGAACCTTCTCCAGTGCTTCCCGGACAAACCTTACAACGCCACTGCTTCTGTCATCGATTTTCAGACCATCCTCATCACGGCATCTGTCTTCAGCTGCCGCCATCGGTTCTGCACCATAATAGCCATCTTTACGATCTGAAATCTTCACCCCATAGGCTCGATCAGTACCGTCCTTTGTTGTCTGAAGATCAGTTACCATGTGTTTGTAGATCAGTTTCCACAATTTGGTATCTTTCTCTTCGACTTGCTCTTTCCAGTCTCTTTGATTCACCCGAATTCTTGAAAATCCGGCTGTAGTTCTCTGCTCATCCGCGTTGAAGTCGTGATCTTTCTTCGGGTTTGGTTTCTGACCATTCATGCCTCCCCCACCTGATTCACCATTGTTTCGGGAAGTAGTATCAGTCTTGGACTCCATAGGAGAAGATCCATGGTCAGGATTTTCCGGATTCACCATTGTTGCGGAATCTTGACAAGCTTGATCGTCTCGAAATGGGGTGGATTTTCCACCGCCATCGAGGACAGTATCGAATGCATTCACGAGAAGCGCTACTTTCCTTATCTGGAAAGGAGCCAATCTCGATATAGCTTGACGAAGAGCATGGTCAAGCATTAAGTTCTCTGCATCATTTCTGTCTTCTGATGATCGGTGCCTCAGGTTAACATTTTCCGCTTCAAAGTTGGACTCCTCTGGCAGACACCGGACCCTTCTTGGATTCAGTTTCCGTACTTTTTCCAAACTCTTGACAAATCTCTTGAGAAGGATTACCCTTTTCAAGTTGTTCCAGCCATTTCCCGTGTCTTGACCTGTCGAATCTTGTTTTCCAGAATTAGAAGACGATGAAATGGCATCTTCATCGGAAGGTTGGTCTGGAATTTCCGAGACAATCTTTTCAAGTGCTTGTTGAACCAACTTAACAGCACGACCCGGTATTTGATCAGTTCCGGAGGAACATTCGGAAGACTTTGATCCATCTACACTGCCCGATTGCTCGAAATCTTCTACGAGTTCGTTCTCGCATACATGATGCTTCCGCTCATCGTTAACGGTTAGAGACGTTGCCATGTGCTTATATATAAGGTTCCTCCACTTGATAAGATTCTGTTTTTCAGCCTTTGTTTCGGTTTCACCGTGTTCTATCCTCTCATCTTCTTTAGATGAACTCGATCCATCTAATTCTGCAGTTTCATCGGATTTTGGGCCACCAAACACAGCTTGGATCTCAGTAGCCTCATCTTTGTTTTCTCCCGAGTTATTTTCCGAACTCGCTTTCTCCATCTGGGCTTTAATGTTCTTCCCCATGTGAGAAGCAGTGAAACCTGAAACACGAGCCCTGAACCTGTCAATCGGGATTACCGTTTCAAAGGCCTGAACAAGAAGTTCCACTTTTCTTTTCTGCGACGGATCCAGCATTGAAATCGCTTGCCTGAGCGCGTAATCCAACATCCATTCTTCTGCGTTTTTGCTCACTCGTCTCAATCTCATCGTCTCATCCTCTTCCCGGTCACATTTGACCGACAGATTCCTCGCCTCTCTCTGATCAAAGTCTCTAACTTTTTCCAACAACTCGAGAAATCTCTTCAGAAGAAAAGCATTTTTCAAGTACCTCCAATTCTTGGAACCTCTCCGACCAGTTTCTTCCCCTGTAAGAGAAGAAGTAGAAGCAAAACGAGACAAGTCCAATCCTTGATCGTCTTCACGTTTCACGTGTTCATGCTCGGAAGTTTTGTCCCCGCTCACGGATTTATCATCAGAGGAGTAATCCGTGATCTCAGGAAGGATCTCGTCCAACGCTTGCTTCACAATCTTAACAGCATCAGACTTGTCATGATCAATGGCTTGAACATCTTTCCTGCCATCTTCATCTGCCATTGCTCCAGAACCATCTTGACAGCTTCTAGAACTTTCTCCACAGAATTTCTCAGAACCTTCTGAAGTTTCTTCCCTGAGACCTGTCACCATCTGCTGATATATAAGGCGCCACAGTTTCACATTCTTCTGTGTATTTCTTTCGGGTTGGCTCTCAGATTCTTCTTCTTCGGCCTCACTCAAATTTCCCCATCGTTTTCTAGCGGACAAAACAGGTTTTAGCAGATCAGTTCCGATTGCCAAACCGCTGCATCCATCTTGGTCATGTGTCTCAGCGGGTTGTGGAACAGATTCTACATCATCATTCCCGTAAATCTCTGAGGTGGAAACGTGTTCTTCGTAGATTTCTTGATTAGATTCTCCATCTGCAGTGACATTTACATGGGTTGGTTCTTGATCTGCACTATCTTCTTCTTCGGTCGTATTCAGATTTTCCCACCGTTTTCTAGCGGACAAAACAGGTTTTGGCAGTTCAGTTCGGATTGTCGAACCGCTACATCGATCTTGGTTCTCACCGACATCTCCCGAGGATAAGTCACGGGTCTCAGCGGGTTGTCGAACAGATTCTACATCATCATTCCCGTAAATTTCTGAGCTGGAAACGCGTTCTTGGTAGATCTCTCGACTAGATTCTCCATCTGCAGTGGGATCTACATGGGTTGATTCTTGATCTGCACTATCTCCGACAGTCACTATCCGACCAGTTCCAGTTACAGAACCTCTCTTCCTGCTTAAAGATCGCTTCAACAAGACCAAACGCCGGTTAGTGCTCCTTTGCTTCTTCAGTAACCTCCTCCTCATTGACACAAACCGCTTCAAAGAGGAAACATTAGCATCATCCGCATGACCATGATGATGATGATGCCCATGCAGAGAACAGTACATGTAGTTGCAGACTTTGCCATCTGAAACATCATTACCGATCTTAGAATCTTTCATAGCCGAAGAGCATGTAGCTCTGCGCAAGCCAGAGTATCTCAAGCTTCTTGTTCTTGTCAAACCTCCAGAAAATTTCTTTGCTGTAGCTCCCATGTTTGGTTTCAGATTCTTCTGAATCTTCCCGACATTCTTCGATGCGGACGAGCTTGTTGGATTCAAGTATCGAGGCTGAGATGCTAATCCAATGGTTTCACCAGACAAAACAGATCGATCGCCATAATTCCTGAGTTTCACAGATCTGACTTTCTTGAGTTTCTGTCGTGTCTGAGTTCTTCCTCCGGACAGCTTCCTCGTCAATTGTCTCCGGAATTTCATGCTCGGGATTCTGGAAATACTCTTCATCCTCTTCAAACTCGCCCGTTTCCGCACCGCTCTTGTTGATCTCGCCTGACCAAAACTTCACCCATGAAATTTCCAGATCTCGAAATCTATGGGTTTTTGATTCAGAACTATGAGATCAAATGAACAAGGAGAAATCCAGAACCTCAAGCTATACTTACATGGCTAATCTCTGCGTTCTCATCATCAACTGAGCTGATAGATTGAGAGTCACTTCCAGAAGCATCCGACAACTCCGACGAAGACGAATCTTCCGACCCAGCTGCGTAGCCGGAAAATATTGCCGGAATCTGATCGAACGTGAAATCGGAACCGGCGAACCCAAAGCTCGGCAACCTGGAAACTCTGATGGGTCTCTTCCAAATCTTCCTCGGTTTCTTCCCCCACCGTCTGCTACTTGTAGTGCTCTCCGACATCTCCGGGAACATCGGAGACGACATCTTCTGGGGCTTCGAGCTAATCTCCGAATCTTTCTCGGTTTTGTCTACTGCCATGGTTTCGTCAAACTTCCAGCCCAAGAAAATGCGCGATCACTCCACATTTGCATCTCTGATCATAACATCGATGCAGAAATAGAAACAGATTGAAGATTTTTCTATTGGGTCGCTTTGGATTTTGATTTGAGAAATTGGGTTTTGTTTACATCTCGCGTTTGAACACTCCTTCGCAGATGAAAAGTTGCAGACTTTAACCTCCAAAGCATAAAATCTTCTCCTTTGGAAAAAATGAAGAAAATAATAATAAATATAATAAATATGATTTATTTATTTAATTATTTCCCTTTCACTGTCCTTTGTGCATTTGACTTTGTTTAATTAGCTAAATACCTTTTTTCTTTTCAAACGATTAGCAGTAAATAGTAATATCACTTTACCACCAAAGCAAATAGCAAAATTTTTGTTTATGTAGAAAAATAGATTTAAGCATAAGTATTGAAATATGGATACAGCCATCCCTTGTCACCAAATTAGAATCTAATCCCATTAATATTTTACTGTGTATCTACCAAATTAATTAATGCACTCCCTCCCTCCGTTTCAAAATATTTGTAGTTTTAGGTTATTTTCCATGTTTTAAAATATTTGTTATTATACATTTTCAAATTATTTTTTTTACAATAGTTTCCAATTTTATCCCTATTATATTCCAATAAATTATTACTGATAACATTGTTTTTATTATTAAATAATGATATATGTGACTTTTTCTATATTTTTTTAAAAAATGTGAAATAACCTAAAACCACAATTATTTTGAAATGAGGGAGTAGCTAATTAAAGCCAACAAATTAATGTGACATTATTAATGTGGATTATCTCGGCATTTACCTCAATTTAAAAAAAATTCAGTTACAACTTACAATGAAGCATATCTTGTTGAAACTCCCAATTCCTAAGTAACAACTCTTGCTCTTAAAAGAACTTCTTTAGACCCCCGTTTTTAGAGTTGAATTTCAATTTTAGAAAATTATATTTATTTTATTTTTACATTTAATTTGAATTTTATTATAATATTTATATAACTAATTAATTTAAAAACCATTAGATTTGAAGATATTTGTTATTATTTGATTATAAACCAATGGAGTTGATGTGGCCTATAGCCACATATTTGCCTCTTCCCAAATATAATTACAATAGTATATAATATTAAGTAAAACAATAATAAAAAAATTTGGATGCGAACACGAGGACAAAAGCGCGTAAATGTGGGAACCACCGTAACATGCTCTGGTGACGTGTCTTCCACGTGACTCAAATCCTCCGCGCCATCATCGGAGCAATCCGACGGTTCCCATGGGATCAAAATTCTGCAGCTACGAAAATTGATTTATTTTACTATTTTTCTAACATTTAATCATTGACAACTATATATATTGATATTCAATATGGACATATATTACTATCATTAAAGGGAATTTATTATCCATGCTATTATTTTCTGATATTTATTATTCATACTTTTTGTATATTTTATATTCCGAATAATCAATTGTGTGTATATATATGCATCATTATCCGCATGGAGATGCAAAAAAGAAAAAAGAAAAAAGAAAAAAGAAAAAAGAAAAAATCGAAGGTTATCAAATTACAAAAGGAAGCAGATAACGTGTCGTTTCGGAAATTCTACCTAAAACATCTTGATGTTTTCAAATACCTTCCAAAAAGGGAAACCGAGTAAATTACTAAAAATCTTATCCAACTAACTTTCTCTCTCTTCGGCCATTTCTCCGCCGATTCAGCATCCGCGTCACCGCTATCGGCACCTCTTATCTCGTCGCGATTCCCTATACATCTTCTTCTTCTCTATCCCCCATTAAAGCCCTGGGCTTTTGCTTCTCTACCTCAAAGTCAACAACTTCTCTGCTCCCTTGAGTCTCGCCGCGGATCTTGACTTTGTTCTTGTTCGTGTTGATTCTGTTCCGATTGATCACTTCTGGTTCAGGTACCGTTTTCTGATTTTGATCTGGTTTTGATTCGACATCAGATTTTTAGAAATTTGGATTTTGGGTCATGTCGATTTGTTTGCGCTGTCCCCTTTCGCGAACTGCTCTCTGGATTTTACCTGAAATTGGGTCATGGATTATATCTGGTTGTCATTGTATGCTTTGTCCGATTTTGCGAATTCTGATCCATAGAATTGTAAGATGGCATGATCAGAGTCGGAGTTTCAGAAATTAAATCCCTTTTCCTTGAGCAGATTCATAGAATTTAGCTGTCTTTGTATGCTGAGATTTGATTCATGGGTTATGCCCCACGAGGGTGGCCATTTCGGTTATTAACCGAATAACCGAACCGAACCGAACCGAATAAGACATAACCGTACCCAAACCGAACCCGACATCAAAACCGAACGGTTATGATTTCCTTAAACCCGAAAAACCGAAACCGAAACCGAACCGAACCGAATAAAAAATAACCGAAAAAACCGAGAGAATAACCGACAATTTTCTTTGAAAAATTGAACTTTTTACCAAAACCGAACCGAACCCGAACCGAAAAATAACCGAACCGAACCGAACCGAAATTTATATAAAAACCGAATGGTTATAGTTTTTCTATAACCGAAATAACCGAACCCGAATATAACCGAACCGAACCCGAACCGAAACCCGAAATGGCCACCCCTACGAGCTATTGAGATGAAGAGGATCCTGTTTCTCCATTAGAGTCTTTCTCTGTTACTTTTTTACAGTGCATCTAACTTTTGCCAGTTATGTCTGCAGTGAAGCATAGATCATATCTGAAGTCTTTTTGTTGCCGGAAGAGATGGATATAAGTAATGAGGCCAGTGTTGATCCATTTTCGATCGGGCCAACATCCGTTGTGGGTCGGACAATAGCTTTCAGAATCTTGCTTTGCAGATCCTTGTCACAGCTTAGACATGATCTCTTCCGGTACTTGTTGAGTTTCTTCTATAGATTTAGGGAGGTGTTATCGCCATTTGTGTCATGGTTTCATCCCCGGAACCCGCAAGGGATATTGGCAGTGATTACCGTTATCGCATTTTTGTTAAAACGGTACACGAATGTAAAAGCCAAGGCTGAAATGGCTTACCGGAGGAAGTTTTGGAGGAACATGATGAGGACAGCTTTGACATACGAGGAGTGGTCTCATGCTGCTAAGATGTTAGATAAGGAGACACCGAGGTTGAATGAATCTGATCTTTACGATGAAGAACTGGTGAGGAACAAGCTTCAGGAGCTTCGTCATCGTCGTCAGGATGGGTCACTTAGAGATATCATCTTTTGCATGAGAGCCGATCTCGTCAGAAATCTCGGTAATATGTGTAATTCCGAGCTTCATAAGGGTAGACTTCAAGTTCCGAGGCTCATTAAAGATTACATTGACGAGGTTTCTACTCAGTTGAAAATGGTTTGCAATTCTGATTCAGAGGAGCTCTCTTTAGAAGAGAAACTGGCCTTTATGCACGAAACCCGCCATGCCTTTGGCAGGACGGCTCTTCTTCTGAGCGGAGGAGCTTCTCTCGGTGCTTTTCACGTTGGTGTGGTCAGAACCCTGGTTGAGCATAAGCTGTTACCAAGGATAATCGCTGGTTCTAGCGTTGGATCCATCATGTGTTCGGTTGTGGCAACCAGGTCTTGGCCCGAGTTGCAGAGTTTCTTCGAGGATTCTTTCCACTCGTTGCAATTCTTCGATCAGTTGGGTGGAATCTTTTCAATCGTGAGACGGGTTATGATACAGGGAGCTGTTCATGATATCAGACAGTTGCAATGGCTGCTTAGAAACCTCACTAGCAATCTGACATTCCAAGAAGCATACGACATGACAGGAAGGATACTCGCTATAACAGTTTGCTCCCCGAGAAAGCATGAACCCCCCAGGTGTCTTAACTACTTGACTTCGCCTCACGTCGTTATATGGAGCGCAGTCACTGCTTCATGTGCCTTCCCTGGACTCTTTGAAGCTCAGGAGCTGATGGCTAAGGACCGAAGTGGAGATCTCGTCCCATATCATCCACCTTTCAATCTGGAACCGGAAGAAGGGTCCGGGCCATCTGTACGTCGATGGAGAGACGGTAGCTTGGAGATCGACTTGCCCATGATGCAGCTGAAGGAACTTTTTAACGTTAACCATTTCATTGTTAGCCAGGCTAACCCTCACATTGCTCCATTGTTGCGTCTCAAGGATTTTGTTCGAGCTTACGGAGGCAGATTTGCAGCCAAGGTATGTTCTTGCATAGTGATTAGATGACTTGATTTCTGTTGATCCATGTTTAAATCGCGGTTTTCGGTTCTGGGTTTTAGCTTGCTCATCTCGTGGAGATGGAGGTAAAACACAGATGCAACCAGGTATTAGAACTAGGGTTTCCACTCGGTGGGCTTGCAAAGCTGTTTGCTCAAGAGTGGGAGGGTGATGTCACAGTTGTTATGCCTGCAACACTTGCTCAGGTATTTTCTGAAAAACCAGTTTCCTTCTTTGATCTGTAATAATTTTCGATCTAGAGAGTTATTCAGACATGTTTTTTTTCCTGTCTCTTTCCAACAGTACTCGAAGATCATACAGAACCCTACGCATGTTGAACTTCAGAAGGCAGCCAACCAGGGAAGGAGATGCACTTGGGAGAAGCTTTCTGCCATTAAAGCAAACTGTGGGATCGAGCTTGCTCTTGACGAGTGCGTCGCCATTCTCAACCACATGCGCCGCCTCAAAAGGAGTTCGGAGAGGGCTGCAACCGCCGCCTCTCATCATGGATTAGCCATGACAACCAGGTTTAACGCTTCGAGAAGAATCCCGTCATGGAACGTGATTGCTCGAGAGAATTCGACGGGTTCGTTAGAAGATCTCTTCGTGGAATCCTCCTCTAACAATCACCAGGCACCATCTGGTCGGTCTTTAAGGAACCACCATGGCCACGACGGAAGTGACAGTGAAACCGAGAGTGTGGACTTGAGTTCTTGGACAAGATCTGGTGGACCCTTGATGAGAACCGCGTCTGCAAACATGTTCATCGACTTCGTACAGAATCTCGACATCGACATTGCTCTGACCAGAGGATTCACGAGCAGTCCAAACTCGCCTGCTGTTCCCCCGGGAACTCGGGAACCGTTTAGTCCGAGCTCCCCTTCCAATGGTTCGAGCATTACGGTTACAGAAGGCGATCTTCTTCAGCCGGAAAGAACCGACAATGGGTTCGTGCTAAACGTTGTCAGAAGAGAAGATTTGGCGATGTCGGTGAGGAACCAGGAGGCGATGAGTCGTACGGAACCGCCGGAAAGTGTACATCTGGATATCCCGGAGAAGGAGACCGATGACAGCTCTGTGTCGGAACACGGACAAGACGAAGAAGAAGACGATGATGAGAAGAGCACAGGGAAAATATCCTCTCCGGTGGATTCGAGAGTAGAAGAACCAGAGACGAGGAAAAGTGTTTTAGATTGATTGATTTTGTGAAATGTATCTGCAGATTCTCACTGATTCTTGTTTTGATTGTACAGTTATGTGTTTATGTTAAGATCCTGATAGTTTGAATAATCTTGTCTTTATACTATATATATATATATATATTAAATGGGGTTTTAGAGGTTTTAATTAGATAAAAAAATATTTTAATTTAAATTATATAAAATGGAGTTCAGCAGTATACTCTTATCCTTCGGGAATATTACTCAAATTGGAATATTACTCAAATAACCCACTTGGTTCGCAACAATTTCAGTGTACACCACCGAAATTTTTTTTTTTTCAATTTTAACCCATTTTTCGGTTGGAAAAGTATAAAATACCTTTTCCTTTTATTTTTACGACTTTATTACGACTAACATATAACTGATACACAACTAAAGTAAGACAGATGATTTTTTTGCCATCTTTTTTAGAATCAATTGTAACTATATTTAGAATTAATTACGAAGTCGTAATAACGGAGTTGTTTTCGAATGGATAAAAATCGCGTATTAAATAAGGGTAATTTCGTCTTAACAAAAAAAGTGTTATTTTTTTTTATGGTGCGATGCGTCATTTGAGTAAAATTCCCTTATCCTTCTTCTACTGCGTCGACATCGGTTTACTTTCCCGATAACATTCTCTGCCGGCGAATAAAGCTTCCGGCGATACTTTGCCGATCTCTTGAGCTCCATGGTTTTGAAGCTGTTAGGATTCTCTTTATATAGACGTGGAATCTCTCTTGCTGTCTCCTCTTCCGTGAAGCTTCTGAGTACGGTCGCGCTTTCAGTAAACCCTAGCCAGAATCTCGTAGAGCCATTAGCGAAATCAGAGCTCAAAGCTTTAGTTCTCAAGCATTACTCCCATGGCAAGTTCTTCAGTCTCGTCAAAAACGTCGTCGCTTTACCCTCCGTCCTCCTCACCGCCTGTCAGAATCTGTCCCGTGCGGCGAACTCGGGCGAGTCAGCCTCCGAGTTCGCTGAGGGCGTCTCCAGGAGGTTCTCGATCGAGGAAATGGGTCATGAGATACGCGAGGAAAGGTTTGATATCCGCTCCTGCTGCGTCGAATTCGTTTCGCCAAGAGGAAGGGGACAAGGTGAATCTCTGGCTCTACCCAATTTGAAATTGAAAGTGTTCATTGAAGCTATTAGGATGGTTCTTGAGGTTGTTTATGATGATCGATTTGTGACGTTTTCTTATGGTGGGCGTGTTGGAATGGGTAGGCATACAGCGGTTAGGTACCTGAAGAACTCTGTGGAGAATCCTCGTTGGTGGTTTCGTGTCTTTTTTACTCGTGAAATGTTCAAGGAACGGAATGTAGATAACCTCTGTGCTTCTATTGGGGAGAAAATCAATGATAGTGTATTGATTGAGACGATAAAGAGGTTGATTGAGTGTGGAATTCTGCGGATTGAACTCGGTGGATGCTATCTTGGAAGAGGTTATCCTCAAGAATGTGGATTGTGTTCGATTTTGATCAATATTTACTTCGACGGGATTGATAAAGAGATTCAAGAGATGAGGCTTGAGATGAAACTGAAGAATCCCAATATCGATATGGGTGAGCAGGAATCAACAGCTAATGTTTTCTATAAGCCAGTGAAGATTTATGCAGTCAGATACTTGGATGAAATACTAGTGATAACATCAGGATCGAAAATGCTGACTCTGGATTTGAAGAAGCGGATTTCGGACCTATTGGAACAGAGATTGGAACTGAAAGTAGATAGAGTGAAAACAGTGATTCACAGTGCAGTGTCTGAGGAGATAAATTTCTTAGGAATGGATCTTCAGGCTGTTCCACCATCTGTTTTGAGACCACCAATGTCTGAGAAGGCTATTCGGGCAAGGAAGAAGTATGTCAGGCAGAAGGAAGTTAGAGCCTTGGAGTTGAGAAATGCTCGGGAGAGGAACCGGAAGGAATTGGGCTTGAAAATATTCAGACATGTACTGAAGAAACTCAAGCAGAGCAATGGGTTTAAATCTGAATTTCGAATAGAGAATGAGGTGAGGGTTATCTTCAGAACTTGGGCAGATGAAGTCGTGAAAGAGTTCTTGGGGTCATTGGAAGATAGATGGCAGTGGCACCGATTGCTCACTAGAGGAGATTTTCTCTCATTGAGACACATAAGAGATAAATTGCCAAAAGATCTGATCGATGCTTATGATGAATTTCAAGAACAGGTGAACAAACATTTGGCACCGACCAAAGCTAAAAAGGCATTGGAGGATGAAGAGAGGAGAATAGAAGAAGAGGAAGAACAGAGATATGCCGAGAGGACCGTCGAAGACTTGACAAAGCTATGCATGAAGCTCGCAGCTCCGATAGAACTTGTCAGGAAGGCTATTAGGTTAGTCGGGTTCACGAACAACATGGGCCGGCCACGGCCAATCAGCCATCTTGTCGTTCTTGAAGATTCCGAAATCATCAAATGGTACGCGGGAATCGGGAGAAGATGGCTTGATTTCTTCTGTTGTTGCCACAATTTCAAGATGATGAAAATAATCGTAAGCTACCACATGAGGTTCTCCTGTATTTTGACATTAGCAGAGAAACACGAATCGACTAAACGTGAAGCTATTAAGCACTACACAAAGGATCTGAAATCGTTGGATCTGGACGGGAATGAAGAGATGCATTTCCCGAGAGAAAGGGAGGTGAAAATGATGGGAGATAAGAATCTCTCGGACCCGAAACCTGTGGATGGAGCCTTGTCTTTGGTTTTGATAAGGCTAGCATCTGATGAACCATTCCATTCTTGTGCTGCTGATTTCTGTGAGGGATCTGATACCATTGTATACCGTATTCATCTACTGCAAAACCATTTAGATATTAACCCACTGGATGAAGAGAAGTGGGTCAGTGGCATGGGAGCAATTCACTCGGCTTTGAATCGGAAATGCCTCCCTCTTTGTTCCAATCACATTAGCGATCTTTACTTGGGGAAAATGACTCTTCAGGATGTGAACGGTAGTTCATTCATCGATATGAAGTGATAGTTATGACTGTTATCTTCTCCTAGTAGTTATTACGTGATGATCTTCTCCTAGTAATCTTCTCTCTGTTGCTGAAACCAGGTAAGATATTGTTCCTTGATTGATTTCCTTTCACGTAAGTGCTTTGAATTCAAAGTTGATTACCAGAACATGAGTTTTTCTTCTCAATGTCGCTCTGATGGCTCTGAATGATATTTCGACGGAGGCATTACCTAACTCGCATGATCTATCATCGTTCAAACAGCATAAACCTGGAGGTTCTGGGAAGTAGAGAATGAAGATTTGAAACAGTAGTTGCAGCAAAAAAAAGGTTGCAAAAGAGAAGATCGGGATGAATTTTCCGATATGGGTTTTCTTCGAAATATTGTTCTAATGCCTCTGAATGATATTTCGACGGAGGCATTACCTTAACGGTCATGATTGATGATCTTTCAAACAGCATAAACCTGGAATTATGTCTGGGGAGTGGAGAATGAAGATTTGAACATCAGTTGCAGTAAAAAAAGGTTGCAAGAGAGAAGAAGATTGTGATGTAACCGGTACCCGAGTTTTTTTTCCTTCGCGAGAACATTCATATGTTTGATCTCATCCTTCTGTTTACTTGTTCAAGGACATTTTCTGAGCTTTTAATGGTGTTTGGCAGCTAGTATAGATGAAGATTCAGTCGCAGTGTGGTCGGTGGAACATTTCTATAAGCGGAAAGACGATACTCTTCTCCCGTTGATGTCCGGTTGGCAAAAACGCTATAAAGGAAAAGTGTTCCCAGTGATAGTTTTGTTTTACACTTGAAACCAAACTCAAATCTCTTGCAGGATTTGATCTGGGTACTAATTTTGGTACAGTGTAATAATTAATTTCAAATACTATTAATCATTAATAGCAATATATATAATAATATCAAGTATGATTTGTTGTTATTCCTTTATAACAGGTAATAGCCACCATTAATGCCGTACTATGAGCTCCTTCAAACTGTTAACAGGAGATGAGATCCTTCAATGAAATCATGGGGGATAGTTCACGATTGCATTATATATGGAAAAAATTGTAAAATTATAAAACTCTTGGGGCAAAGTTGCGAAACAACGAAGTTTCGGTGGTATACAGACTGAGTCACGTGCACCTCTCGTGGGTTGCCGACTGAAGAGAAGCAAGTTTAGAATCACTGAAGGGACGAGCTCTCTCTCTCTCTCCCTGAGATTTTTGGTCCCTTGGATTCTTCTGTTGAATTCGTTATTACAACGAGATTTTGAAGAAGAAGATCGACAGCAGAAGAAGAAGAGGAGGAGGAAGAAGAAAGAGCACGAGATTCAGAGCAAGAAATTTGAAAAGAAAAAAAAAACATGGGAGGTTACGTGTTGGGTCCGGCGAGATCGGGACAGACGATAATGGTGGCTCTTGTTTTGATGGTTGGATCTTTCTACGCCGGTACTCTTTTCGGAAACAATGCGCCCATCTACGTATCACAATCTTCTTCCAATTCTTCTTCATCCGGTTTGCTCTCTCTCTTTCTCTATCGGTGTTCCTGTTTCTCGATGCTTTTCCATTTCCAGAAATTTCTTGCATGAGCTTGGATTCCCGTGGAAATTTGCTTTCCCAGGTTTAATCTTTGTTTCTGGAGCTCAATTGGTCGATACCCATTTCTGTATTCTTACTGATCAGGCGTAATAAGATTCATTTCTTGGAGGATAGTTCGTAATTCATAATTTGGCTCTTAGGCTTTTCTTTTTCCCCACGTTCTACATTTTGTAAGTCTTTTAGGCCTGGAAATTCACATCCACATACCTGTTTTTGGTTTTTGGGGCAGAATTGATCAATATGCAATCTAGAATTTTCCTGTTTCTGGACCAGACAAATCTAGATTTCATGCCTTGGAGGATAGTCCGATGTATGGGGAGCTCACTCCCTTAATGAACTGGCTTTCGATGTAGTGTTCGTTAATGGACAGCTAGAGAAGAGTTCTGAGAATGTGGTTTCAGGTCCATCGACTTTCTCGAATAAAGTTGTGCTTACTTACCGGAGAGCTCCAATTGTGATCCCGGAGAGTGGGATGAATGTATGTCCATTGAAGTTTAACGAGTATATTCCTTGCCACGACATGGCTTATGTGAAAGAGCTGCTTCCGAGCTTGAATGTTTCTAGAAGAGAAGAGCTTGAAAGGCACTGCCCACCACCTGAACAGCGTTTGTTTTGCTTGGTACCTCCACCTAAAGATTACAAGATACCTATAAGATGGCCAACCAGCAGAGACTATGTATGGAGAAGCAATGTGAATCATACACATCTTGCCGAAGTGAAGGGTGGGCAGAATTGGGTGCACGAACAAGGGCAGCTATGGTGGTTCCCAGGTGGTGGAACACATTTCAAGCATGGAGCTCCAGAATACATTCAAAGGTATCTGCTTTCTGTTCCTGAAATTGATATCACATGGTTTTCCATCTCACTGAGATAGCATAATGTAAAAACCTATTATGGTCCTGCCAAATATTCTAACAAAGAATGTGATACAAGTCTGACAGAAACTTATCATAGCTATTTCAGCACAAACGACAGATATTCTTTCATCGGGCTGATGTCTGAGTTTCATGATACTTAGTTGCCAAAGCTTTCATTTGCTTTTGAAATTTGAATGTTAGTTAAGCTGAAACTGATACTATTTGATTCTCATTCTTATACACTTCCTTGAATTTTTGTCTATGAAACAGGTTGGGAAACATGACAACTAATGAAACAGGTGACCTGCGTTCAGCCGGGGTGGTACAAGTGCTTGATGTTGGCTGTGGAGTTGCCAGCTTTGCAGCGTATCTTCTAACTTTGGGCATACAGACAATGTCTTTTGCGCCCAAAGATGGTCACGAAAACCAGATTCAGTTTGCGTTGGAGAGAGGAATTGGCGCAATGATTTCTGCCATAGCCACCAAGCAAATGCCATATCCCTCGGGTTCTTTTGAGATGGTTCATTGTTCGAGATGTCGTGTTGATTGGCATGAAAATGGTATATTTCTGGTTTCATAGTTTGCTTAAAATTCATCACCAAGTTTTAATAATTGCATCATTTAGATTGGCCTTGCATTTGAAGTAATATCATGCCATATTGGCTTTCCTACAAAGAGTTCTCCCAGAATTGCGATATTTTCTATCATGATGGAGAATTGATAGGATAATGGACATTGTAGTGAACTGTATGCATTTAATGATAGTATATGTTCTATATGTTTCTTCCCCGGACTCTTCCTGTGTTTGTAACATGTAGTCATATGATTTTATTTAATATCACATGACCAGTTTCATTGGTATTGTTGTTTTGATTGGTTTTGTAACAGCAGTTTTCCCATTGACCAGCAAAACTTTTTCTTGATTTTGCAGATGGAATCTTACTTAAAGAAGTTAATCGTCTTCTTCGACCCAATGGGTACTTTGTGTATTCAGCACCGCCTGCTTACAGGAAGGATAAAGAGTACCCTATGATTTGGGACAAGTTAGTGAATCTAACTACTGCAATGTGCTGGAAGCTCATTGCCCGGAAGGTGCAGACAGCAATATGGATTAAAAGAGAGAACGAGGCGTGCCTTCAGCATAATGCCGAGTTAAAACTTATAAGTCTATGTAATGCTGAAGATGATTCCAGACCATCTTGGAAAGTTCCTCTGAGGGACTGTGTACGAAGAACTAATGCAGACACAGAACCGAGACCCTCCTCTTTAGCTGAGCGTCTATCAACATATCCAAGAAGTCTTAAACAAATCGGTGTGTTTCTTCTGCATTTGATTTGTAGAGATACCGGTACTTCTTTCTCAACCCCCTAACCATTTCGGCAAAAATTTCATCAGGAATCACCGAAGAAGAATTTACTGCAGACACTGGCTTCTGGAAAGAGCAAGTTAGTCGTTACTGGCAATTGATGAATGTCAACGGGTCTGAAGTGCGGAATGTGATGGACATGAATGCGTTTATTGGCGGATTCTCTGTGGCTATGAACTTATACCCAGTTTGGGTGATGAACATAGTACCTGCTACCAAGCAAGATACCTTGTCCGGAATTTATGAGAGGGGCTTAACCGGCGCTTTCCATGACTGGTAAGCAAATCCAATCGTTCTTTTGTTTTCTGATCCTTGGTGGTTTTGAAAGGCATCATCAAAAAGCTGATAAGAATCTGTGTTAGGTGTGAGCCATTCTCAACATATCCACGCACTTACGATTTGCTTCACGTCGACCATGTCTTCTCTCATTACCAAAACCATGGTGGCACTTGCTTATTAGAGGACATAATGCTCGAGATGGACCGCATGATACGCCCCCAGGTATATTTTCAGTTGTCCTTTTGATATTACGTACCGTTTTCCACGAGGCATGCTTATGTAAAAGTACTTTCTGGTGAAACTATAACCGTATCACCTCAAGAGTTTCTCTTTTTCAGGGTAAAACCCGATTTTTCTATGCATGATATATCTTGCATCAGAACCGAAAATTCTCCTCTTATCAATGTCAACCCCATCTGAATGCCTTTCACACTTGCAGGGATTCGTCATTATAAGGGATGAAGAATCTTTCATCACAAAGATCCAAGAACTGGCTCCCAAGTTCTTGTGGGAAGTTGAAGCACATCAGCTTGAGAACAGAGACAAGAAGACAGAAACTGTTCTAATATGCAGAAAGAAGTTCTGGGCAATCATCTGAAACATTGGTTTCTCTGAGTTTGCTTCTTTAGACAACACAGTTTCCAGAGATGCAAGAGAAAGAAGGATACTTTTGCTTGGTTTGGGAGATGAAACACAGTTCAAGAACTACTCAAGTCTGTAACTTTTGTTCATTTGATTGGTTATATATAGCTTTCACTGTATCTCGGCCAAAAAAAAAAACACTTTTATTAGTTTCTATTTTGACCCCTATATTAAGTTTTATGTTCAGACATGTCCTGCAAGTTCAAATTCTCTGACATCTGAAAACTAGGGGGCATTGGAACTACACAAGTTCCACTGAAATCATTACAGTCATTGTGATGGTAATGGTGATAAATTGGGTCAAATGCCCAAAAGTAGATCAAAACAAAAAAAAAATTATATGGATAAATCGTTTAATTGGACAAAAAGAAAACTTCCGGGGCAGAATTGTAATTTTAGAATCTGTCTAAACTTTAAATTTTGTCCCTTCGGTTGTTTATAAGATAGCCCTCGTATTTACTCTCGCTTTCTTTTTCCTTCTTCCACTAAGATTTTCCTTCATTTTCTCGGCCAGTGGGTGTTTGGCAAGTTTCTCCCTCATCACCGCACTTCACCTCCCTATCACCAACGCTTACGGCAGCCGGAACAGCTTCTCCTCCTCTCTGGGCGAAACCCACATTACGCCGTTTCTGACACGATCTCGTTCTGTTTGGATTCGGAAACGCTGAGATCCTACGAGATTCAGACCGGGATTTCTCAGGTTCTAGCGGACTCTCAGTCTCTCTGTGCAAATCCTAATTTGCGTCAAAGTTTTCCGTTTTCTGCCATGGCATTCGGGTTATGGGCACAAATGACGGATTTTGTTTTCTCAGGTTTACTGGTGAAAATGGCGACTACGCGCTTTCAGATCGATAGTGATGATTCTGTGCTTTTACATGTTACTCACTCCAACATTAAGAGCTTCTCGGCGGATGTTCGCTTCTCTCTGCAGGTGGGTCTTTGGTGATGAAACTCGATTGTAGCTCTCACAAAGGTTTTGTCTGTATCGGTGTATTGAAAATAATCTCCTTTTTGCTTTCTGGGCATATTCTGAAGATGAGTGTGGAAGCTGTTAAAGAAAAGCTATGGAAAAAATGTGGCACAACTGTTAATTCCATGGCTTTAGAGCTGTATGATGACACTGGCTCAAAGGTTGCAGCTCTCAGTGATGATACGAGACCCCTCGGTTTCTTCTCTCCTCTTGATGGGTAACTTCTAATTCCGTCAGTTTATTGTATAGAGAACTTGAAGCCAATTGCGTCAAAGATTCAAATGCAGAAACTGTTTAGAACATCATGTCATATGCTTGTTTTATACTTACATGATTTTATCTCAGTTCATCTGGTTGTTGTTTTATGTTGTCTTTAAAAGGTTCCGGTTACACGTCATAGATCTTGATCCTTCATCAGTTACATCTGGAGGCTGGTTGGAGGATACATCGTTGGTTGAGAAGTATACCATTTCGGAGGAGGCTTACGCAAAACGAAACGGTATATTGATAAGTGTCCCACATTGGAAAATGAGAGGGATTTGGGCCAATATATAAGTAAGGGTCAAACCTCCACTCTTAAGCTAGCTTTTGTGGTGGAGTTAGGGCCTAAACCTTATTATATATCTCCACTGCTTTGAATCTTTTGTCTGAAAGGAAATGAAAGTGTTTATTGAGTGGATTAAATACAGACAGGATCATTGGAATTCTTTCAATGACATGTTATAGTGTTCATGTCCCAGACAGTTTTAGGAAGTTCAAAGAAAAAGTTGTGTCCCAAAATCCGGCGGCTTCTGAAACTAAGGTATGATCAATGTCTAAAAATTGAAGCTTCACTAATTGCCTGTGACAACTTTTCAGTAAATCTCAGTAGTCATATTCACATATGCTTGCAGTTAGATTAACACAAGAAAACAAAGGTTACTTACTATTCTCCTTTCAAATTAATCCTCTTTACAGATGAGAGAGAATTACATGGAAGATCTTTGTGTTAATATCAAGGTCAGTCTTTTCTTTTAGATATATATAAGCATAGTTTATATTTATGTTTGCGCTGGAATTTGTATATCATCACATTTCATTAGAAATAGTTCACTTTTAAACTGTTAATAGCTTGTTGTTCTCTTTATTAAACGCGATCTTCCTTTGTACATGTGGACCTTTTGCTACTGCTTCATTCTGTAACTAAATTTGGATTGTAGTTTTACCTTTTTACCTACAGTCCTAGAACATGCGTACTCATTTTTTGTTTCCATCAATATTGTAACATACATCTGCAAACCGGATTTGAATAGACATTTTGTAAAATGTTTGTTTTTTCAACAGTTTCTCAATTTCTCTGTTGGATATTAAGGTGAGTGATAGATGTCAAGTTGAGGCCGGGGAGAAAAGAGGAGTGGTCAAATATGTTGGACGAGCCGAGTCGTTGGGACCTGGCTATTGGGTTGGAGTTCAGTATGATGAACCACTTGGAAAGCACGATGGCATGTATGCGAACGCCTATCTTAATCTTCGGGATACTTCAACTTGCATTCTTCCTCTATAACAAATTATATTGTGGCCTTGTTTTGGGCGAAAGTTCTATCTACTTTCCCATTTGAATTTGAGGCTGATTAATTAAGGCAAAATTATCTTGCTTTCTCCATGAATCCTTGAGTTTTTCTTGGAGCGACTTGTTTACTTGTGTCATACTTGGCAACACAAACCAGATAATTGGACAGTATTACTGTTTTATAAGTAAAGAAGTGGTTTTGGGCTGAGGTTTTTGAAACCCTTTTCCTCCTGTTCCTATACGTTGCCATGGTTTTGGTCTCTGTTACCTATTGGTTTATTTTGATTTATTATTGCAGGGTGAAAGGAACACGATACTTCGAGTGCCCTCCCCTTCACGGTTCAATGGTTAGGCCAGACAAAGTAAAGGTACCTAACATTATTTTGAGCTTTTTTTTTTGCTCTGCATTGGTTTAGTTTTTGGCTGTCGCCTCTTTTCTTCATATTAGATAAAACAAACGCCCCTACACTTGCCTTTCAGTATATACATCAATAAATGCAAAAGTGTGCATAGGTGCAAAGTTGTAGATTATTGTAGCTTTTTTAAGTCTGATCTTCTATTCTAGTTCGTTGAGTTAACTGAAACATCAGATGACTTTTCATCTGATTGCGCGCATCTCAGTCTCAACTCACTCGAGGGGCTCGAGCGATATCTCTCTCTCAGGACGAGAGATACAAATTCCATATTGACTATCTACTATCCGAAACATGATTCATGTCGTACCCAAGAGACGTCGTTATAATCTTCCTGTTACGCAAGATGTTTGACGCAATCAAAGTACGACACTCCTCAAGTCGAATACCGTAAACATCTCAGGTCAAAGGATCTAATCGTAAACCTATCACATGAGATTCAAGTCATGACTCATGTCCATGTGACAATCTCATGCGGGTTATCCAATATTTCATTCCAAATCAGTACCCATGACTGTGATCCATGATCATCCATATGATCATCTATCACACATTATGCTAGTCTTATTATGTTATCATTCCCACAATAATATACGACTAGGGAATTTAGAATCGTTCATAACGAACCATGGATTTCCTTATTCATCAGATATACAAAACGAATAAAGAAGAAAACATTCATTCATTTTACCAAATCATGAATCTGCCAATACAAAATGTCACGGTACAGATATCATAAAGCAATATATAGAGCACCTAAATAACAGAAATAACTTGTGCTAAAAAGCTGAAGACCTTTTACCAACAAAAAAAGAAAGAAAGAAAAGACTGTTGAATAAGCCTGTAGACTTACCTATGCACTATTTCTCGCTTCTCTTGATTTCTACTTCATGGGAATTTATGCTGCTTTACGCGGTTGATAAGAGAACAAAGATGCAGGATTATGGATCAAGAGAAAGGGTGTCTTTAATAAGATTGGAACCCGAGGAGACATTTTGCACTTATGATTTGATTTGATAAAAACAAAAAATAACAAAAATTGACTGTCTTGTTGTCCTTTGCAGGTTGGGGATTATCCGGAACGAGATCCTTTTGAGGATGATGAAATATGAGATTCATGGAAGCTTCTAATCCACGAGGGAAGAAAGAGAGCCACATATGGTTCAGACAACTTGTGGACTTGAGTTTGGTACACTCACTTGTTGTTTGTGTTCTGCTGCTTCTGCATATTACTACTACACTTCGGCCTCTTAGCTTTGGATTTGTTAATGGTTGCTTTCAAACAATGTGACTCAACCAATTTGAATCCCAAGGATATATATCAACTCATGACAAATAACATTTTCATTTTATGACGAAACTGCGTATATATGTGTGTGTGTGATCAGTATCTTGGTTTTGATCCATAGTCTCTATCTTGTACCAAGTTGTTGATCATCTTGACTAGAGGCACAGTTCCCTTGGCCATGATCTCAAGTCTAGACCTGTTGGAGGCGTGCGAGAAGAGTGACAGCCCGAAGAACAACAGCTCTGGAAGAAACAGTCTGGACGACAAGAATCCATGCCAATAATGAGGTTGCAGGTCGAAGAAAGCATCAAAGAACCTTCTTGTAGCATCTAAGTCAAGCTTCAGGAGAATATCCATTCCGAAACCGAAGAATTCCCTCTGTCTACGCCGTTCTATCGGCCACAAGTCTCCCCACACTTCAGCCGAGAGTTTGTCTCCTCTCAGTTGTGTCTTATCTGAACCGAGACTCCTAACAATGGCATTTGCAACTATTGGAGCTGCGGCTAGAGTCCTGGCCACCATGTAACCGGTTGAAGGGTGAACCATTCCGGCTGTACCACCAATCCCGACTACCCGTTGAGGCAAGATGGGCAATGGCCCACCCATCGGGATAACACAGTGCTCATCCTCCTCTACTCTCTTCACGGTAATGCCCAAATGCTTCAGCCTAGCAACCATTCTTTCTTGTATATCGTCGATACGCAATCCAGGTCTAGCAACCAGGGAAGTTTCCTCCAGAAATATATGGTTGGACGAAAAGGGCATCGCGTACAAGAAGGTAGGAAGCCTTCTGTTCCTCTCCTTGAGCTCGGAAGAGTTACCGAGATGGCTATCTCTCCAATCCATGAAAAGCATCTTGTCTACATCAAACGGGTGGCCATCGACCTCAGCCATGATCCCATAAGCCACTTGGTAACCCGGGTTATACGGCTTATCGTACTGAACGAGGCAACGGGAGAATCCCGTGGCATCGAGAATCACTTGAGCCTGAATCTTTACACCGTCACTGCAAAACAAAGTAGACCTAGACTCCTCATGAATGACATTAGTAACTTTAGATTGATGAAACTTCACTCCGTTCAATATGCATTTCTGCAACATTTTGGATTTCAGGAGTTTCCGGTTAACCCTCCCATAAGGCCGGCCTAGATCCTTCTTGACGTGATCGTCGATGTAGACTACGGCACCAGACCAGGTGGTGTCAAGGCAGTCAAGTAAGTCCATGTCCTCGAACTCATCCACCCAAACTCCATAGTTGTTGGGCCATATGAGCTTGGGAGATGGATCAATGGAACAAACCGAGAGGCCAGCCTCTGAAACCTGCTGAGCCACTGCTAGACCGGCCGGACCGCCACCGACCACGGCCAAGTCCACGACTTTACCCTTTGAAGGGTCATACAGAGGAAGCTCAAAGTCAAGATTCTCCTTCTTGGTTTCAGGAACAAGGTCCAAGAGTGCACTGCTGCTGCTGCTTCTACTCAAAGCATGAACAGCAAGACCAGTCTTAATTCCCCTCCTCTTATGGAAAAGCTTCAGCCTTGAAGAACTTAGGTTGCTGCTACAGCTACTGCTGCTCCACTTGTCGAGGCCATGAGACTGGGAAATGAAATCGAGCTTGTTGGGCGATCTCAACAGTGTATCCATGGGATCCTAAAAAGGTCAGTTCCCAAATCGGTAAAACACAGAGGTAGAGAGAGAAGATGAACTCAGAATCTGGAAAGGCTAATCCGAGACGATTTCAGACCAAAGGATTGCAAGACCTAACAAGAATTAGACAGAAGGGTTTTCATGGATTCCATATAAAAGGCACAAGCTTCAGCATTGAAACGAGACAATGAACACCCAAAAGAAAAGAAAAAACGAAGAAAAAAGAAAGTGAGTGCTTACCCAGAAGCAGAAGCTTCATGGAGATGAAGAAGAGTACTGTAATTTTGCCAAAGAGCAGAGCTCCAGACAAGAGGAAATGGGGAGAGGGAGAGGGTAATCCAATCGTGAGGGAGAGAAGAGGATATTTGGTGTGGGCAAAGGAGAGGAGAGGAGAGGAGAGAGAGAGAGAGGACACGACTCATGATTTTTGTGGTGTCTCCTTTCCGACAATCCCTAGTGGGTCCACGTCGCTGGTTTAGGCTAATAATGCCATTTCCATTTTAGATGGTGTTTATATTCCGAAGGAAAATAAGAAACTCCAGAAAGAAATGCAAAACTTTGTGGTGAATAAGTGGGGAAACATTTGTTTTTTTTTTTTTTTTTGGGGAAAATGACATCTTAGTCACTATATCACTATATAAGCTTTGTATCCAACTAGTGGTTTCAACATTTGTGCAAATTCAGGGTTTTTTTTTGTTTTGTCCTACTTCTTTGAAAATTATTCTGAATATTTTTGTTTTATCCATATCCTAAAGTGAAAAGAGAGAGATAATATAATCCCAAGGAGTGAACCAAAAATCCATTGGTTTTGGCATTGTTTCAAAGCTAAAAAAAGATGTAAACTTGCTTTGTTTGGTACCACTTTGTTTACAGAAACTGTAAAATATCCTTGAAATACAAGAAAAATTCATAACAAAGACTTCAAGAGCAAAAACTAAGGAACATAACACCTATTATTTTCGAAATCGAATTTTCAATTAAAAATTATATTCCTTACTTGTTTTATATAAAATTCAATTTTGAACCTATTTTTTTTATCGATACGTTCAATCTATTCATTTATTTCTATATTCAACTAGTTTGATACAAGTTCGATCTAAAAAGATTTGTATCGTTGCTATTAAATCAAATTCGATTTGATTTTTTGCTCAATTGAACCAAAAATAATCATCCCTAGAAATAACATCAAGCACTCGAAATTTACACCTAACCATTAAAGTCAATAACACAAATGAATGGAATTCTCGTCCCAAAATTTAGGTGGAATGGTTTGGTTTGGTGGAAAATCCACAAAATCAGCATCAAACAAAAGAGCATGAATTTAATCCCAAAGTGTCCACTGAAAGTGTGTCTTCTTGTGAGGCAAACCCTAAAAGGAGAAATGAACATTTTGTCAAAAAGAAAAACAAAAAAAAAAACACAGTTTATACGAAAAATAATAACTAATAAAGTCCTCATACTAAATAAGAACAACGTTAGTGACCCTATTATACACCCACCCAATAAGTCTTTAAAAAAAAAACAAGCGTGAAAGGTTCCAAAAGCTATGTTTGTAGATTCTTAGAATCTCTGTACACAAAAGCCCCCCTTCCTCCTACGTCGAGAGAGATGGAAAAAAAACCTGCAATAGTGTGAAGGTTGATGGTCATTGATGCCGGTGAACATGACGACGATTGATGATGATGATGAATGAACATGACAACAAGAAAAAACCGGCAAAGACGGACGAGAATGGAGCCGATGTGTGTATATCTCACCTGTCGTTGCTACTCATTCGCTTCCGAGGTTTTCATAACTGAAGCCTTCAGATATTGTCTCCAATCTCTTGTTGTCCCCTGCAAACACAGATACCACCACTATTATCAGCCTTCCATTTTTTTCCCCATCTCTCTGTCAGAAACTCGGGTTTCAGACCCGACCCGAGCTTCCCTATAAAACTCTACTCAGAGTATGTTTCTTAAATCTTTATAAATGGATTTCAAGATTGATTTTTACCTTGGTACTCTCCCCTTTCACTGGAGTCCAGAAAGTTCCCATTATCAGTCACAAGAAAGGGTGATCTATCATAGCTCTCCAGAATGTCTGAAATCAGAAAGCAACTTATGGTGTTAAAACTGAATTTGTGAGAATCTGGTTCCAAGAATTCATAAAGTTCTTCGACAACCAGTGGTTAAAACCCTTGCAAACAAATAACATGCATGTCTACTGCACATGTGTGCGTGTGTGTGATGAAGAGATGAGAGATGGACCTGAACTCTGGGAGAAATCAGCTGTCAGATCAGAAAGGCTGAAGTTCCGAGGAATTTGCCCTAAAAACCCGAAAGTAGAAGTGTCTGAATCGAGAAGTGGGTCGTTGAGAGGTTGGTTGTTGGATTCAGTACTGAAAGATGCAACAGAAGCATCTCCTACGGAAGAATGTGCTTCAAGGGTATTCCGATTTTCACCACCGTACATGTACTGACCACATGCCGAATAACCAGCCTCAGATTTTATCATTCCTCCATTCATTCCTTGCATCAGAGGCACGCTGGTTACCTGTGAGGAGATCATGTTTGGAGGAGGAGCATCAACTCTGCTAGAATGAGTTGATAAGTCCACAGAAGACGGGATATTCACGTTCAACAATGAGCCTCCATTGAGGAATGCATTGGTCAGACCAGAAGCCATTGGATTTCGCGCATTTTCTGACTTCATCGATTGATCCACGTGCTCTGATGCATAGCTTACGTGCTTTTGGTTCACTGTGAAGAGGATTCATGTCAGATTTTGCTCTATACCAACTCATAACCTCCAATTTTCTACCGGGAAGTGCGAAATCACGAGACTGTAGAACAGGGAGAGTTTCGAGACTTGAAAGCTGAAGCAGCATACCGAATCTACACCTCATGAATATCATACACTATACCTTCTGAAGGTTTGAGAACTAAATGACCGAACAAGAAGAGAAGTGACTCAATCTTGATCTCAAAAAAATGAAGCCCCGAAGAATGAACAGATTTACGAGCAAGTGAAATACAAATTAAAGAGACTCTACTTTTCCAAACAATTGTTACCTGATTGAATGTAAGAACCATTTGTAGTTTGAACAGGAGCAACTCCAGTTGGATGAAGCTGACGCATGAGCTGCACCTGCTGCTCAAGCAGCTTGTTGAATTCCATTATCTGGTGCTTCACCGTCAGCCTAAGATAATAAGCCTTGAAAAAATCCCGATTCTCTTCTTCAAGCTTCTGCCAAACTGTAAGTGTAAACCAAGCAAAAGTAAACCCAACAATGTTGGCATAAATATCTGTAATAAATTCTGCCATAAGACGTGTTCCCACCATCTCCAATCATCATTATGACACTTTGCCTCTCATTGACATTATGACCAACTATTATGCAATTATGCCATTGAACTGCTATTCAGTCTCTTGCGTATATTCGTTGTAAGAATTTTCTAACTGGCTTCTTTAACAGATTAGACCAAACTGTGATACTTCACAAAAAAAAAATGCAACAAAAACCAGGGGCTACCTAGTTCTGTAAAACCAGGCTCTATCTTAGCCTGCTCCAGTAGAGTGTCAACGACTTCTTTCTGGTTCATGTACAGTTGGAGACATCGTTCTATAAGGTTTTGGACCTGCAACGAAATGATAATGGTAAGCAGTCCAAAAGAGTAAGACTTTCTTCAGCTTAAGGTTATCTCAGAAATAAAGAAAGAAGAAAGTAGCAGAACAACACAATGCAAAAGAAGGAAAATAGAAAAAAGAAGAGAATATCTAATATTTTCTGAACAGACTCATCACAATAAAATGCCAAAGACTTTGGTTAAAGAACGTCTCGAGCTCTTCGTGGTAATTACATGTGTGCCCTATGTTCTAACACTTTTCATGAACACTCCTCCAGAGAAAAAATGGATATCCCCCATGCAACAACCATTCTAGAAAGACACCATATAAACTGTATACATATGCGTTATGAATGTACGATGAAAGTATGTTGAAACAAGAAAATGCAAACAAACATAACCAAGAAAATTATTAAGAAACAGAAATATCATTATATCCGGCTAGAAGAAAAGCTCAACATCCCTGACTCGAGAATCCTACCAACTGTATATCTTGACGCGATACCCTTCTCACCGGTCCACTTGACATGTCGATTAAAAGCTTATGAAACAGGTGTTAATCCTGTCAAAAAAAATAAGCAGTATCAGAATACATATCGTTTGAATAGCTAAGAGATATGTAGCAGATACATGAAGATCTCTAATGACTTCAGTAAAAAAAATCCAAAAATATCTATTTCCAGAAATATCTAACTCCTACTATCTTCATCAATCAGAACAGAATCCTACTTGTTCAGAAACAAGTTCGATATCAACTCCACTCCAAAGCATTCACAGAGGAGGAGTAATTTACCAAAAACTTGTCTCCAGAAGCCAATTCTTCCCAAATGAAAACGAAGAGATCTTCCGGCAGTTCAATCAGAATTGTTAGTCAATAAACAGAAGAAATTAAAAACTTGATTTGGAAAATTATGTATGCACTAAAATCCAAACAACGACTCGTTATTTCCATGGAAAAAGACATCAAAATCGCAAATTTCTTCCTCCGAAAGGAAATCACAGTTCCCTTGATCACCGACCACTAGTAAAGTACGAATTACCGAAAAAGAACATATATTTGCATTCGCCTAGCTTCTTCTTCAGTACAATAAGCAAAGAAAACACACAGAAACACATATTAGAGAACAGTCAGAGAAACCGAAGGGATTTGATCCCAAACATAAATTCACCAAACATGGGAAAGAGATCCGACCCCAAACCGTCCACGTTTTCCCCCCACAAAACCCTAAAACCTCGAATTGGTTCCGTCAACCGCATCAAATCCAATTCAAAACACACACACCGAACAAGAAGAACAAGACACGAACTGGATTAGGTTACAGAAAAGAAAGGATTAGGCAGTAACACGAGAGATTCGAGAACTAATCCATACCTTGATCGCGAATCCGAGAAACTGCCAGAGAAATCTTTGTGGGAAGAAAAAGATATCACTTTCCTACTAGGCCTTTATTTCCCCCTTTTAAAGAGATCGACTTTGATGATGATCGTAGGAGAGAATTCCTCTTGTCATTTTTTTTTAATTAAATTATTAAAGTCGGGGGCTCAGGGAATCTGCCACGTGGACAAGTAGGGAAAATACGTGGGTCCCATCAATTCGGATCGAGTGCGACCGACGTGGATGGATGGCTGTTTTGTTCCTCGCTTCCTTCGAGGTCAAAGTTAGTCAATGCCATAGCTCATGGTGTTTGATTCCTTTTTTTCCCACGTGGAAAGAGAAAAAATGTTTTGAAAACATTCAATATAATATCTATAATCATGTAAAATCTTCAATATTTCAGTGAAAATTGTTCTGAATATAATATTTCCTATCGAACTAAACCAAACCAAATATAATCTAATTTTTAAAAAATATTACATATGAATGCCCGATTTTATTATCAATTCATAATTAATATATAATTTTAAAATTTTCAGAAAAATTATACGAATTCTTTTCGATTCTTGACTAAAGTTGTAAATTCTACAAAAAAAATTCTAAAACAATTACACCAAGTTTTAAAGCACTCTTCAAACAAACAAAAAAGTATTATTTTAATTGTAGAGTAAAAATTTTACATTTTTTTCTCAAAATTTAAAATTTATTTATTAATATTGATAATAAATTTGTATGTTTAAGAATAAATAAATTTATATTTTTATGTAAAACTTTCTCTGTTTTAAGATAAATTTTACCCAAAAATCGATCTAATATAAATTTTATTACCTTTTTGCAAGTGAATCAACAATCATATTTTAAAATCTATATATATTAATAAAGGAGTTTAAAGAGATTTGGTGAAACCACCTAAGCATTCCATGTGGCCATTTTTTAAATTTTGATTGGTCATTTCAAAACTTTATGAGTTACATTATTTTGTTTAACTTTTATTGACATAGAATATGGTTTATTAATGTACTATTATATTATAATTTAAATAGAATACCCCACTACTTTCAAACAAAAACGGTAGTAAGAATATTTATTATCCAGCTAATAACCATAAAAATAGAATATGGCTTATAAATGTATTATTATAATTTAAATACAATATTTATTGCCCACTCCACTACTTACAAACAAAAACGGTAGTAAGAATATTTATTATTGGATAGACTATTCACTAATCTACTAATGGAAAAACGGTAGCTCTCTTTTTGTAATTAATTTCAATTTTAATTTATTGTATTTTTTTTTTATCATTTCTATATAATACATGAAGCAAACAGAGCTCGATATAAAAAAATGGCCTCATGTTCAAAACAGTGATAATTCTTTTAATTATTGTCAAACTAACGCTTCCTCCATCAGCAAGACAGAAGGCGAAGTGGGATGTACAGGAGGCGAAGCTGGATGTTCGAGAGTCCTCCAAAGACGAAGAACAAATTGTAAAGTTTGAAATTGTATTGACTTCTTGATACATGTGAGGTTTTTTTTTTTTTTGGTTTACGTGTGATTCGTATTACTGGTAAAAAAAGGTTCCTTTACATCTAGAAATGAAACCGTAATGAAATACACAAAAGCAAACGGGATTCCCGATGCAAAAGGGTAAAAATACGAAACAAACCTACAACGGACAGCAAGTCAAGGGGGTCTATCTAAACCATCAAGAAATACCAATCCTCATACAAATGCATGTGAGTTATATATTATCTTTGGTGGTTTAGAAATTTTTTTTTTCCTATGTATCATTTTAAAAGCTTCACATTGATTTGGGAGACATCCACATTTTATCATCTCTCTCTCAATATATATATATATATATATATATATATATATTAGAGAATATCGGTTTAGTATTAGATTTGGTGTTCGGTTTAGATTTGAGTTTGTATAAATATTTTGTATGAATAGTTTGGAATGAACAACACACGAAAAGTTTCCCACGTCTCTCTTTTGCCTCTTTATCCTTTCTTCCTGCCCTCCATACTGTAACTCTCTTTATTTTTTTTTGCAATTATTTCTAATTTCAATAGTTTTTATTGTTTTTATCAAAAGTTGTGTGCATGTGGGAGTGACTTAGTGAGGATTTCCAAGATTTTCTAATAATCTTGATTTTTAACGAAAATAATATGCAATGTATAACATTTGGATTCCAGGAGAATTCGAATATGGGTGGATATGTATCTTCACACAAAAACATGGTTAACAAGTTTTAGAAGAAGCAGAGGCGTGGAAGATCCGGAAAGAGCAGATCATACATATATATATATGCATGCATATATATATAAATATATATATATATATATGTATATATGCTTAGGTATGTATATTTATACAATTATTTTATGTATATGTGTGGATTATTTTTTGTTTATTATAAAATTTATTGATATGAATGTATAAAAATTATTATATATATTATGTAAAGTTAAAATTATAGTATTCAATCAATATATATATATATATATGTATATAAGAATATAAACATTATTACATTATTAGTATAATAATGATATTGTTTTATATATATACTAAATAATCTAGAATTTTTATGTGTTATATTAACAATGATAATAATCATAAGTTTGCATGAATAATTACCTCATATTTTGATATAAATAAATTCTTGAATTTACTAAATATTATAAAAAAATTCAAAAACTACAAAAAACAAAAACAATCGAAAAAAAGTTTAATATTTATTTATTTCGAAATTTTGATATAATTATATATTTTTTAGATTTCTCTTTGTAAAATTAATAGTAACTGTTAAAAATTTTAGAAAATATATGTTAAGATTTTAAAATAAATTCACAAATAATAAAGAGAGTTGAGGAATTTTGATAAATCTAATCATTTTTCATAAAATTCATTGTTAGTCTAAATAAAAAAATAAAGACAAAAAACCATTTTTGATTTTAATACAATTCAAATTTAAGTTAAACCATTATTCAAACCGAATAAAAAAATAGTTAACTCTTTTATGAAAATAAAAGACAAAAAAATATAAATAAAAACATAAACAAAATGTAAAATATATATTGGACATATACATTAATTGTCTGATATGATATATCGTCATTTGGTGGAATGTTCATTGATATTAAAAGGTTTAGGTTCTAAAATTTACAAAAAGTATAAGTTAAATATTAAACGTATTGGAAAGAAGATTGCTACTTTGAGGAAATACTAAAATTGAGATTTTATGGTCAAGCCGATGCATATTACATATATATATATATGTCCATAAACAAAATCTTAACTTAAAAATGGTAGGATAACTAATTCCTCGACTTGTAGTTTTTTATTAGAATCTCTAAACTTGCAACACAGTTCCGATTAAAATTTCCACCAACATTAACCATCATTTCTGTTAAATATTGTCTACATGATATTCCACGTCATAATAATTGCCACATCGTTAATCCCAGGATTAAATAACGCAAACAAATTAAATCGATAAATAAAACCGATTCCACGAACCGATTTATCAAAAAAGTTCATTAACTTGAATCTGTTTATCTTAGAAATTTTTTGGATTATTTAAATCTGTTAGACAACATAGGTTTGAATTTGATATAAAAGATTTGAATTTTTTTCAAGCGAATTTGAGTTATTTTCTGAGTTGTTACATTGTCTTTAATAATGAAATTGAAAATATATAGTTTAAAAATAAAAATTTTAAAAAATACAGACATTCTTTTCGCTCCACGTGTTGCAAACTCTGAAAAACAAATCAATGATGTCCATAAAGTATAACATAACAAATTATTTTAAAAAATATTGTTCAATCCCATAAACAAACAAAAAAAGAATAGTAGAAAAGAATGATTCATCTCTTGAGAAAATATATAAAAAAAAATAAGAGATATAGAAGAGATGTGATATTAAGTTACGAAATATAAATCAATTCCACTAAATGATATTGGTTTAAATTTATTTGTCATACATTTTTTGTTTTTAATCCAAAAGAGATAGAAGTCGAAGAATTACAAGTCAAATCTAGAGATGAAGTTGAAGAAGTCGAAGACCACAAAGATACAAGTCAAACCCAGGGATGAAGTCGAAGAAATCGAAAGTCGATGAAATCCTAGGAGAGATAGAAACCGAAGAAGAGACGAAATGGAAGAAGTCGACGGAGAGGGAAAATCGAATAAGAGATGTCGACGAAGAAGACGAAAGCAAAGAGGTTTAAGAAGAGGAATTAGGGTTCAATACGGAAGAAGGATTAGGATTTTATATATTTGGGAGAGAATTTTATGGTTTTTTATTTTTAAATGAACCATTAAATCTCGACTGTTTTAGCAATCTGATTTCATTTGCCGTTTATTTTTTTAACGTTTCTTTAATTCAAGAATGGCTATGGCAATTAATTTTGACATAAAATATGATATGGAATACCATGTAGGATAATATTTAATATAAATGACACTCAACGTTGATCAAACATTTAATTGGCTCTGTTTTACAAGTTCAAGCATTCTAATGACATGATTTGCAAGAATTTTTCCCTAGCCTACAAGGTAAGAAATTAGTTTTTCAACCATTTGCAAGTTGAGAAATTTTTATGTATCTATAAAATTTTGTTCTTTTTCATTTTTTTTGACATGACAGTATTAAATAACAAGATGTAGAATATGATTGTCTAAATCATATATATATGTATGTATATATATATGTATGTTTAAATATTTGTATATATATCTGTATAAATATGTATCGTATATATGTATATATAAATATGTATATGTGTATATACGTATACGTATATGAATATACGTATTAATTGACTTTCTCTGCCGTGAATGTTTTATCTCTTGTAACATTGCATTAATCATAATTTTGAAGTGAATAAGAATTAAAATATTTTTATGGTCCACTTGACCATTGGATTTGATGCCAAAAGAGTCAAATTGGATAACTAATATTATCATTACCATTTTGCATTAAATTAAATTATTACCACCAAATGCATGAAATATATGATTCAATTTTAATAGATATTAAGATGAGAAATTTTATAAAAAATATTGCTACACCATAATGTGATATTTAATTTTTTAAATTAGTTTATAAACAAATTAATAATATAAATATTACTCCATTTCACACCATATATATATAATACGAAATAAATCTAAAAAACAATAACATATATAATACAAAATTCACAATAAATTAACAACAATATATATACCTAATAATATCTTTTTTCTGACTGTTTTTTATGTAATGTTTGAATTTTTTTTATAATATATAGTAAATTTATAAAATAAATTTATATTGAAATATGAGATGATTTATATATAAAACAATATTATTATTATAGTGATAATATAATGATATTTATATTCTTTTATTTATTCATTTCTTTAATGATTGAATATGTTTTCCGTCCGGGAGAATCTGTTTTTTGTTCGGGAGAACTGTTTTTTATCCGGTTGAAAAACAGTTTTTTCGGATAAAAAATAGTTCTCCCGGACGAAAATGGGTGTTAGATGAAAAACATGTTTCATAGATGAAAAAACAGTTCTCCCGGATAACACAGTTTCCAAAAAACAATTACTTTTTTATGCTACATATTTTTCGGAGCACTAAATGACAATACTGAATTTAGATAATAAAGTAAGGATTTTGTCAAAAATTTATATAAACCTATAGTTTGCAAAGGAAGAAAAAAAAATATAGATTTCCAATGTGACATATATGACACAACAGCATAAATTTTCACATTAGTTTTCAACCGAATTTGAAGTTTGAGAATTTTTAAGAGTTTTCACCTTACATAATATATAAAATATTTTTTAATACATTCATATCAATAATATTTTATAATCAAATAAAAAATAACTCGCACATCACGCATAAAAAAATCGAGATTTAAGACACTCGTAACAAATTGTTTACATCGAACTTATATAACGTGTAGACAACGGCACTATATTTTTATACAACTTTATATTTTTTAATATTCATTCTATAAATAATATAATGATGATTTACAATAATTAAATTACATAGATATATTTTTGGATGAATGTAACAAATAATCTTTATAAGTTTTTATTATATTAATGTCAACAAATGATACAATTCAAAAAAAATTTAACCCGGGCAGCGGACGGGTCCTCATCTAGTAATCACAATAAAAGAGAACACCCTTTTTTTTTCCGAAAGGACATTAAAGAAAAAGAAAACCCATTTCAATAAAAGTCGCCAATAAAAATCAAGAATTTATTTATTTTATTTTATGGGTTCTTCAAAGCCACATTCACTCCATGCAGAATACAGTCTAAAGGCATGGAAAGAGTTCATGAAGAAAACACTACTTAGTCATGCTTCTTTCCCCTGGGGATTCTGCTGAAGAAACCGGAGTCAAGTCTCTTGTAATGATTCTGAAATCTCCCGAGAAGATTATACGCGAACCCGTCCACTTCATCTTCATATCTCTCATACATCACTGGCAATGTATGAGCCGCCACAAAGCCTTCATCCATTCATGCACATTGAAGTTTAAAAAACCTTATCAGATTGGCTAAAAACTGACATGGATTCTGCAAGTTTGTGTTTGTAATCTCCTTTGTGACGGAGAGTATGATCGTATCAAAGCATATGGTGTCGAGAAAGATGAACTGAACTCACCGACGTATAAAACAGTCAGAAAATTGCACCAGCTCCCTATGATTGCGGCTGCCCACAATCCACCAAAGGCCTGAAAAGATGATTACTACTGATTGTTAATGCAGCAGCATTTCAAGACATTCGGGTTATGGAGTCGTCAGAAACAGAGGAACCCTCGAGCGATTTCTTGAGAGAGGAACTTTCGACGTGTTATAAGGCCAACCCAATGCTTAAAGGGTCAAGATTTCTCAATGGTTTAGTCCTTTATTGTGAGCTCAACCATGATTCTTGAGTTATGGTTTTATACAACATACATGTTCTTCAGACTCTTCCTTGTGGTGGTTCTTAATGGAAAGGATAACGGTTTACTTGTCCCTTTTTAAAAATAACAAGAGATGGAGAGGAAGAAATGAAAACTCGATGCCTCGGAGAAGAAAATATCATGAGATGTGTGATTAAAGTGGAGGAATTTGAATACTTCTTATACCTGAAAGCATCCAGGAAGGAAAAAAAATGAGGTTGGGGGAACAAAATTTCACGTACCATAAGGAATTGCTTCAAGTTCCCTCTGCAAGCTACGCCCTGAAGAAATGTCAAACCACGGTTGACCTCGGTTCCAATAGTCATGCCAAGATTCACAAAGAACTCCTCTGGGAGAACAAGCCGAGGCACTTTAGACGATGAGCTGTTTCCAACGTCAAAATCAATCTCAGTGATCTTAAACATTGTCTGAATTCAGATGAAACCAAACCAAGAATGACAAGACCAAACAGAAGAAAACAATGCCTGAATTCAGATGAAACCAGACCAAGAGTGGCAAGATGAAACAGGAGAAAACAATAGAGTGGCATATCGAGTTACCGGTTCAGAAACCCCGAGGCATTGCACCAGATAAACTGAGCAACCATACCGAGCATGAGGGCGAAACATACGAGAGTCAGAAAATGGAAATTGATCCATTCGAAGAGCACCCAGACAGCAGTTGCTCCGATGAGGACACTCACTGAAATCTTCTTGTTCCTCCACAACAGTACATCAGCAGCTGAAGAATTTCGAGGTTTAAGGCATTAGAGCAATCTTGAGGATAGGAGAACGAAATGAAAAACCATCATACATAGATACATATATAAAGGTGTTTATCTAAATCATGATTACATATTCCACCCCCTAAGACATGATGGATCGGTTCCTGACGACCGAACAGCCGGTTCAATCGAGAAGAGACTGTTGCTTCCTGTTCGAAAAAGGATCCATTGTTGTTCTTCTTCTGAACGCTCTCGGCTATGGTTTCCACCAAATCATTCAGAACATTCTCCACCGTGCTCTTCTCAGGCATAATTCTACAACTGATTCACACAAGAACAGAATAAAGAGTAGAATCTCTTAATAAACGTAATTGCCAAACATGAACCTGAAAGGTAATAGAAACTCAAAATCTTCTGGAGAATCGAGCAAGATAACAATCAGATCAGGAATCAAATGGACACAAGCCTCAAACATGATTATTTCCACAAGTGAAACCATAAAAATCGAATCTTTTTTTTTTCAAGAGACACAGGACGAGATTCTTGGAAACCAGAGAGTCATCCAAAGATGAACTACCTACCTAACTCATGCTTAACCCAAAACCTAAATCCATCCAAGTACTCAAATTTTCGACCATAACACATGATTTATGCAATCCTGTTTGAAACCCAGATCTTATCTTTGGGAAAGAAATAAGAGAAACCCAGACTTCAAACAAAAAAGAAATACTATAAATTTAGGAGATATAAGGCAACAAGTGAAAGATCATGGAAACAGAACAGAAACTGATGCCAGCAAAGGAGAAGGAGATGAAGAAATACAAAAACCTGAGGAAGTTGAAGGAATTTTTGGCTGTGAATTTCACCGATATGGACGTTTGAGGAGCAGGAAAAAAAAATAAAGGGAGCAGCTTTTCTGAAAAAAAAAAATCTGGGCTTTTTAATTTATTATTTATTTGTTTATTTATTAGGAACATGAAGGAAATCAACAGGATTGGTTGGTTTGAAATTTGGATGGTTCAGACTTGAGTGTGGGGTTTATCTTTCCCACGTGCTTACGCAAATGGTTTCGGTCTACATGTTTGTTAACTTTATTTATATATCTTAATTAAAGAAATTAAATCTATTAACAAAAAAAATCCAAGGTGTAATTGCGAAGCGGATTATGTCATTCAATTAAAGTTTGAAATTTTCATTAGAATAAAAGTTAAATTTTTTCTTTTATAGAATTGTGTACAAAAAACCATTTTTTTAAATAATTATTTTTCTAACCAATAAAAATAATTATTTTTATCTCTATATCGGTCGTCATAATTTTTTTCCAATTAATTCTTATATTTTGGTTGATATTATTTTATCATATTGTCGGTTGTATTGTTATTGTATTAAAAAAATAAATGTGCTGTGATTTATTGAATTTCTATGGAATTGGATTGTTACTATAAACAAATCGAGAAGGTACCAGGAAATACCAAAGGTAATTAAGAAAATAGAGAGTAGACAAAGATTTTATATTAGTTTTTTAAATTTTTTTGTTTTTTTAGGTTTCTTTTCAAAGTTTTCATCATTTAAAAAAGCTTTCTAAGTTTCAAAGGCGGCTTAATGCTTCCCACGGTCAACAACATGTTTCTATATTGAGGGTTAATAATTGTTCTTATTATTATTATTATTTGATTTATTTTTCATTATTGACCCCATAAAAACGTTTTCGACCCTTCATGAAGTTCATCGATTTTCTAAGAAATATGATTAGATGTGGTATCCGAAATCCCGAGTTTCGCGGGTACTTATCATCGTAGATACTTGAAACTTCGAAATTTGAGCTATGGCCAGTACGTGTTCGAGGCGTGTGATGTCTGAAAACCCGAACCGTTTAAAATTTAGGGTTGGTCGATCGACTACCCGTGACTCACGGGTACCAAGCAAAGGGTGAAAGGTCACGCCATGACCATTTGGGAGTGGGGTTGAGTAAGAGAGCCGTATGGAGATGATGACTGATGAGGACAATGAAACTTCGACGCTTCGAACTAGGGGTTGGTATTTCAGTTTTCGATTCAAAACTCAAGTTGTTCGGTTTTGGGAACAATATTTTCGATTTTATAAAAATTATATCAAACTAGAATTGTATGTTAAACAATTTAGTTTTATATTAATCCGGGTTGAAACAATATCTTTATATGAATACCACATAAGTTTCAAACCATAATATTTATATATATATTGGTGGTTAATTCAGATTTTGGACGGTATATGTTGGATTTGCTTTGGTATTTGTACGGTTCGGTGTGGGAACGATATATCTAATATTGTAAACAAAAATTATCAAATTAAAACAGAGCGTTATTCTATTTGGTTTGACTCGGTTCCGATTCTTTTATTTGTTAAAAAATATATTTGAATTATATCAATAGTATATTTTCTTAGGTTTCTTTTTATAAATAGAATTTATTCAAAGTTATGTGAAGGATATATATGTTCATATGAACAAATTAAAAGACCTTTGTAATATTAAAAAAAAAAAGCATTAGCTTATTTGAAAAAAAAAAGCATAGAAGATGGGAAGTGGCGTCTTTGGAGGAGTAATGTCCAAAAACAAATTTTTTTTTATAAAAAAAAACAAAGTTGTTTATATAAAGATTGGAGATTTATAAAAGAAATAGTCTAATGGAATACAAAAACATCTAAAAATTTGAAATACGGAATATAATCTATAAAAGAATAAGATTTTTTTTTTGATAATCCGGAAGTTCATCGGGCCTTTGACCCGACTACATCTGGGATCGGAAGTCCATGTGACTTCTCACGCTTGGGTTTGAACTCAAGATGAAAGCATGCTTTGTATGTTTTCTCACCACTAGTTATCCAAACTTGAGTAAAAGAATAAAATTCTTATAATGTCATTCAACTAAGTTTTTCATATATTCTAAAGTTTGAGACCTTTTTTAAAAATTCAAACTTTTGCAAAGTTTACATTTTTTTTAACATTGTCCACAACAACAAAAATCATGCAAATCAGTCATCGTGATTACAAGTTATAGGTTAATAAAAGAATACAATCCTCAGTGCATCTTTTCAACGAGATGCTTTTCTTAGAGAAAAGAAAAGAAAAAAAATAAAAAGAGAAATACCTAAATTTTTAACAAAAATAACGTATAAAACTTTTATAGAAATATTTGAATTTTTCTATAATTTTAAAAAAAATCTAAATTTTTAGAAAATTTCTATATAAACTTAAAATATATTAAAAAATATTTAAATTTTAGATTTATAATTTTTTTAAAAATTTAGATATTTATATAATATTTTTGAAAATTTTAGATATTTATAGAAATTTTTTATAGTTTAGATATTATTTAGAATTTTTGTAAAAATTCAATTATTTATATGCTATTTTCACATGTAAACTTTTGCGTCATAAATATCTCCGATTCACAATATATTGGTGCAAGTATCTAATTCGTTTTTTTTAAAAGGCGAATGAGATATTCCCAGGTTCGATTCCGAGGATGCGTTGTTCTTCGGTGATGATGAAAATGACGTCGTGAAAAATCGGTTTGATTTGATAATACGGATTGAGCCTCGACGGTGCCCACCTCTCGAAACCATTGACCTTCCTTCCTCGGCGGCGACCCACTTTGAGATTCCTCCTCCGCCGGAATATTCCCTCCCACCCAGGTTAGATTCCTCTTTCCGTTGGAGGGCCCTTCTTGTGAGGATCTTTCCTTTTTTTTCAACTTTGGTCTTCTGGGTATTTGATGTTAACCTTGTTTCGCTTCGTCTCATGGGTTTTCCCTTTGATTTCACTTAACGAGAAAAGTTATGTTTTTTTTGTTGAACTGGGTCCGATTCTTGCTTCGCTGAGTTAAAAGTTGCGATCTTTTCTTGTTTCGTTGCCTGAATCGACCTCCTCGTCGAAATTTTCAACTTGAGTGTGTGTTCTTTAGTGTCTTTCTCGTTTCTTATCGACTAATTTGTTGCCATTTCTTTGCAGGAAGGAATTCATGTCGAATTGATTTTATATAGGATTCTTCAGCAATGCCTTACCTTGTCAGGGAGAATCTGTTCATTGGCAATATAGGCGATGCGGCTGAGGTTCTTCAGAACGGTAGCTCTGAGATTTCTCATGTTCTATCAGTTCTAAGTTCAGCTTCAATATCCTTCTTCGCCGAATGGCGTAGCGGCATTGCAATAGACACGAAGGAGATCAAGAAAGTGTATGTGAGTGATCAAGATTCATTGGAGGATACGGGACATGGCTCTGAGTTCGCGCTTTCGTCGGATAAGCTCCTTTATTTGCTTGAGTACGCCGGGAAAGACCTCAAGATGACAAGAATGGCGACGCCCATTAGAGATATGGAAAGCGAGAATCTGCTCGACTATTTGGATGCTTGCTTGGATTTCATCCATACGAGCCGGAAGGAGGGTGGCGTTTTAGTTCATTGCTTTGCCGGAGTTTCACGGAGGTGAGATTTCGTTAGAGTGTTGCTTGGAATCTGAAATGCAAAGCCCGAAATGAGACAGTGATTTTGAGATTGAGAGAGCTGATTCCTTGTGGATTTGTTTCAGTGCTGCTATTATCACTGCTTATCTGATGCGAACCGAACAGCTATCTCAAGAAGGTTAGGACGGAACATAACTATGGTTTCTCAGACAATAGCTCTTTCAATATAGCCTTTCAATATCTACTTTCTGTTTTGCAGATGCTTTGGCATCACTGCAGCAAAGCTGTGAGCATGTTTGCCCAAACGACGGGTTCTTAGAACAGGTGACAATGAATATTGCTATATGAACTAATCATTTATATATAAAGGCTGCATCTTTACTGTCACTCTATCATTTACATTGCAGTTGAAATTGTTTGAAAGGATGGGTTTTAAGGTCGACCATTCAAGCCCTTTGTACAAGCGGTTCCGCCTAAAAGTCTTGGGTTAGTTAGTTCCCTTTATCCGTTTTTTACCTTGAAAGTTCTATTGCTTGATAAAAGATCCATTTCTTGTTGTCAATTTTGGTCATTTTTTGGCATTGGGAAATCTCTTGAAAGGGCATCTTAGCCGAAGTTTAGAGATTATTTCGTCTTGCATGTGCCATTTGCTTATGACTTTCTCCAAGTATTAACTGATGAGACATTCCTGTCTGTGTCTATCTAATCCCACTACGAGGATCATTATTCTGTTCATTGCTTGCGGTTAGGTGATTCATATAACCGAGGAGAGAAAATAGACACCTCAAAGCTGAGGGATGATCCCGGATTGTCGTCCAAGGAAGTTTCTCTCATAGAAACGACAACGGGGAGGGAAAATAACGGAACAAAAAGTGGAGTGTACCGTTGCAAGAAGTGTAGGAGAGTTGTGGCATTGGAGGAGCATGTCGTGGATCATACTCCAGGTGAGGGCGAAACATCGTTCGGGTGGCACAAACGCAGAAACAACAGCCTCGACAACAAGCTCGGGGGCCAGGACCAGTGTTCCTCCATATTTGTAGAGCCTCTAAGTTGGATGACGCCAGGTACAGAACTTCAAGTAATTGCCTTTTTAAGCAAAGAAACCCACACGATTAGGGGTGCCCAAGTCTTTGGTACCCTGTCTCGGCCTTGTCCCGACGGGATTTTTGGGGTATTATCTCAGTCTCTATCTCACGAAGCCAGGATACCCACGGCTGAATCGGGAATCCAGTACCCGAACCTGTGAAAATTTCCGAAATTTTGTTGACATACGATTGACTGTAGGGGTAAATTGTTAATTTACATGAAGATGGACTTTGGTATTATTGTAAATACGTTAACAGACCTGGGTATCCATGAAATAACATGCCGTGGGTCGGACACTCCCAAATCCACGGTCTGATTTCTGGTCTCATTGAACCCCTTTTCGAACTCGTTGGCGAGTAGCCATGACCCGAGTACCCGTGAGATCGGGTACCCGAAAACCTGTGGGTCTTGGGTAAAAACGCCTACCCCTATCCACGGTCATCACACTTTTTTGAGCTTGCATTATATGAGATCCATAGTAAATAATCTGTAGTTAGAGGATCAAGCACAAACCCAATGTAAAAGGCTGAAACTTTGGATGAAAACTTTGCCTGATCGCTCTCTGTCTTTGCAACAAAGTCTTGGTTTTTTGTTTGTGGAATCAGTGAAAGAGGGAGCGATGGAAGGGAAGTTGTCGTGTGTTAACTGTGAAGGCCGGTTAGGGTACTTCAACTGGTCGGGAATCCAATGCAGCTGCGGGAGCTGGATCACGCCGGCGTTCCAACTCCACAGGAGCCGAGTTGACATCAGCTCTGTCTGAAAATGTAGAGGTCCTTCTTCTTCTTCTTCTTCATCCGCAGATATATCAGAGATACTTGTAAGGACACAGACACACATATATTATATACACAGCGTGTGAATGAAGGAGATTTGCTTGTTTGGTCTCAATTGATCTTTGAGACTGAATTATGATCCTTGTTTTCACTTGCGTAATGAAGAAATGTATGAGCTTTCCCCCTTGGCTTTAGCTATACATTATATATATATATATATATATATATATATA